CTTCCTGTGTGGGCCCTGCCGCTGGCTGCTCCGGCCGGCCGCTCAGGCCTGCTCCTTGTCGGCCCTCCAGAGCCGCTCCTTCACCTCGGGCGGCAAGGTGTTGAACAGGTCCTCCTCCACCACCAGGCCGCTGCGCTTGAGCAGTGGACACTCGCCCAGCTCCACGGGCAGGCACTCCAGCCGGTTGCCACGCAGCTCGATCTGCGTCAGGTTGGTCAGCTCGCCCACCCGCGAGGGCAGCGACTGCAGCACGTTGTTGCCCAGGTGCAGGGCCCGCAGCTTCCGGCACTGGAAGAGCTCTGGGGGCAGCGCCTCGATCTGGAAGAAGGGGCAGAGGGTGAGTGGGGCGGGTGTGGTATGGACCTCCAGGCCCCTGGGCTTTCCCCCTTCTCTACCGATGCCTTTTCTAATCCCTACACAGGCTGGGCCAAAGTCAGGCTCACACCCACGTGGACTGAGATCTTGGTTCTGCAGCCACCTTCTCCAGGAAGCCTTCCCATCCTCCTGGTCCCATGGCCCCTCGCATTCCCCCCAGCACGGACCCTTCTGTTCGTCACCCCAGGACTGTGGGCTCTAAGACGCACTGGGTCTGCCTCTTCCCTGCTATCTCTGGTACCTGGCACCCTACGAAGTGTCTCAAGGCCAGCTGCAGCCAGCTTTGCCCCTTCCACATCCCAAGGCTCCTCAGGAGCCAAGCCCTGGGGCCTGTCTGGCCCAAGAACAACTTATGAAAGCAGAACAGCATGCTGAGGAAATTCCACCCCTTTAACTCTTCCTGGGAACTGGGGAGAGTTCACTGAGAAGGGCGAGAAGCCAAGCCATGTCCTTTCCCCGTCGTAGGCCTCAGTTTCCTCAGCTGTCCAGTCCCAGGGAAAGGCTCAGTGCAGAGAGCCCAGTGCTGGGCATTCGAATCCTCCTTCTCATCCTGTCAAATGTGAGTATCAGGCAACACCCCCATGCAGCTCACCACCCCACAGGCTCACTCAGCACTGATATCATTAACTCGCGTAACCCCAAAACGACCTGTAGACACTCTTCCCATTTTATAGATGGGGTAATGGAGGGCCTGAGGAAACTAACTTACCCAGAGGTGCCGCCGGCAAGTGGTGGAGCCAGGATTTGAACCTGGTTCAACAGCCCCTACTCTGCTAACCACCCACACTGGCGGGGCAAGCAGTGGATGGCAGGGCCAGAGGGGGCCATTCCATGGCTGCTCGCACCAGGGAAGAGCCCCAGGAAGGCCAGCTGCTCCCCCGCCTCCTGTAGACAGGAGTCCTCACGCTACCTCCCTCTGACATGATGGGCAGGAGCCTTGGCCCCAATCCCCAGTGCTGGGGAGGCCCTTAAGTACCACTGAGGTTCTCCATCCCTGTCCCAGGTCCTGCGCGGAGGCTGAGGCCTGGGGAGGAGCAACGTGTCCACGGTTAGACGGCCTGGTTTCCTCCCACTCAGGGCCTATGCTATATTCCCGTGATGCCAAATGCGGTGCTCAGAGACGGCAGACCCCTGGGAGGCCCTTCCCCTCCCCAGGCCTCAGTCTCCCCTCCTGTGAAATGCACAGCTGGAGCCTCAGCTCAACCTGATGCAGAATCTTTCTGCAGACTTGGATCTCAACCTGGTGGACTCATGCTCTCTGTGGCCGTGGCTGGAGGAGGACCTCAGTTCCTGGCAGGTACCGTGGCCTTGCCGGCTAGTGGGCAGAAGCCACACCATGAAAGACACTGTGCCCAGTGTCAGGAATGGGGCAGGGCTGGAGGTCAGGGACATAAGGGCGAGAGGAAGGATGGGAAGTGGGCTCCACAGTATCTGGGATTCACAGGATACTGTGAGCCTTCCCAGAAAGGGCCACTCCTGCCCGGATCTAGGCAGTGGTCGGGGCAGTGGGAAAGGCTGCGCCCATGAGAGGGTCATATGTGGACCCTCAGCTGGGTCCATACGGAGTAGGGCTGACTCCAGAGCCTTGGGCCCGGACCCCCAGTGATGGGGAGACTTCTAAATAACCACTGGAGTTCCCTGAGAGTGTCCCTCCCAGCCCCAGCTCTCCTCCTGCCCCCCAGAGTGCACGCTGCAGGTACTCAGCTGCTCAGCTCCTACCAAGGCTCACCTGGCCCTTGGGCCTGTCCTCTCCTGCAAAATGTCGCTTGTCCACTGAAGGCTGGAACCCTTTCCATCACCTCCAGCCTCACCTTCTCCTGCCTGCTCAGGGACCTCGACAGCCCCATCAGCACCAAGCCTGTCTGGGTTTTAAAAGACCAGCCTTTCCAGCAGCCTCTAGGACTGCTCCATGGGTCCCAGCTTCCTGACCAACCACATGGAAGATGCTCTCTGTCTTCTCAGCCCACTGTCACCCGGCTTCTGGTCTGCCCACCCCTGACACCCGGCCCGGTCACTCCGTCATTCTGGGTCCACCAGACCTGAAGCATTCCCAGCTGCCTCCCCATGCCCGGGAGTCGGGCCTGGCCTTCCTCTGTCACTGTCCATCCAAAGGCTCAAGTCAGACCTGTCCTTCTCCATCTCTCTTCTCCCCGGTGATTACATCAGGGACCCCTTTTTACCCAGGAGCCCGGAGAGGATGACTCAGGCTCCAGCATTTCTGAGTGAGGCAGGACGCACCCACCTCTCTGAAAGCCTGGGCCTCCTCCAGCATCCTGTCTCAAAGACCCTCCATCCAGCCATGTGAAGGCTTGTGTTTCCCCCTTCCCTCCTCCAGCTCCCATGTCCTGAGTCCACCTCCTAAGTCCCTCCGAAGCACACGGGGTCTTTCTCTCCCCAGCAGCCTGGGCCAGTTAGGCCTCACGTCCTCACCTGATGGCGCATCAGGTCTCCTGACAGCTCCCCCTCATCCTGCCTCTCCAACCCACGGACCCCTTGCAGCAAGACAATCTCTCCAAAATGCAGGTCGGCTCATTCCTTCACCCACTCAGTCAATAAGGATTCCAAGGAACACTTGCTACTCACTGGGCACTGAAAAAGAGCCAAGGTTGCTGGCTGGCAGAGCTGATGGGCTGCAAGGGTTGAAATGAGCCCCAGCCCTGGCTTCCCCACCAGGGAAAGTCTGCGGCCCAGGGCAGCTCATCACACAGCCCCTCGCCAGCTCGGGTGCTCCCTGCATGACACTCCCTTTCCTCTGTCCCTCCCTCCAGAATGCTACTCCTCTGTGTCCCAAGACCCTCGTGTCCCTCATGTCCCTGAGCACCGACTGCAGGTTATACGGCCCTGTCCCTGTCCCCAGCACCTTGCACACAGCTGGACTCAGGTGCACTGAAAACATATCTGCCAAGTTAGCGAACTAATGACGAACAAATGAAAGCCTGCCTGGCCAAGGTATTCACCAACACAGGTGTGATCTGGGAGAACGGGCCACACCCTCGCCTCCTGCCCACACAGTCCGAGGTGGTTTGAGCCTGAGTGAGGAGAGGGGCTCGGGCCCCCAACCTGGAAGGAGGGCCTGTCCAGAACAGGCCAAGTGCACGTTTTTCCCTATAAAGGCCTCTGGTGTTCTGGAGGCGGGACAGGATGTGAGTAAGCAGCATGCTATACAGGGTGTCCAGAGGGGCTCCTTCCTCCGGGACAGCAGGCCTGCCGCCCGCGCCTTTCCTGAGGGTGACCTCAGCCAGCAGGCACAACACTCACAGGCCAGCCTGGTGTAAGGAGCTGGGCTGGAGGCTGCAGGATAGCCCTCCACAGCACTCACGGCATGTGGGCCAGGGCAGTTGACAGAGGTCACAGAGGGAGGTTTGAGCCCACTGCGGGGACAGCGGGGCCTCACCCTGAGCTGCAGGGGGGCCTTTCGGTCTCTCCACATACTGAAGAAGGGGCTGGGGCTGGGTCTGTTTGTACTTCCTGAACTTGGCTTCTCCAGTTTTCCTATCAGTCGGCCTGCCCTGACCCTGCAGAAGTGAAACAACCTGAGACGTGACCTTGCCATACCCTCTCACAGGTGCACACCCAGGGACAGAGAAAGATCTGTCACAGTCCCTAATACAGGCAGGAGGCTGGCTTGCAGTGAGCGTGCTGGGGGAGGGAGGCCCCAGCCTGTGTGATACAGGCAGGATGGACAGGGGCGCCTCAGGGGTCACCTCCCTGGCTCCTGCTGGGAAGGGCTCCTGCTGGGAGGACTCGGTAGTGTCACTGGGAAGAGAACTAGGTACTTGCCCAGCACAGGCAGACCCAGAGCAAACGCTCAACGAGCCACGGGACCGCTGTGTGATGGGGGCACCAGGCTGGCTGAACTGGCTCCCCAGCCCCTCAGCCTCTGCCTCACTGTCAGAATGTCCAGCTGGAAGAAGGCCAGAAAGACCTGCAGGTGCCCAGGAGGGGCAGGCGAGGAGAGTGTCCCCCTTCAGAGCAGCTTCATTTCCGTTGAGGAGGCCAGACCACAAAGCCACAGGAGTCCCCCGCCCTCAACCCCACCCTGCCTGCTTGAGGCCGTGGATGGGGGCATCCCCCTCTCGAGAGTGTCTCAAGGGCGTGGCCTCCTGCACCACTGCTGGGATGGCTTATGCAACTTCCTCTCCCAAGAGGCAGGTGGTGACAGGTCAGCCCCAGCTAAGCCCAACTGTGCCCTCCGCCACCCCCAAATGCAGAGGGGGAGAGAGGTGCTGAGTGACACTGGGAGCTGAAGACTTTAGGCTTCCCCTCAGCCAGCACCCACATGCTTTCTGTCCCTGGCGGATGCAGGTTGATCCCTTGACTCCAAATCCAGTCGGAGAAAAGCTCCAGGCTATGTCCTGCCTCCCACCACCCAGCCCAGAGAGCACCTCTGGTCTGGCACCCCACACTTCCCTGCCAAGTCCCCTTGAGGATAGGCCTGTCTGACCACACCATCTCTCTTGCAGGGGGACTCCCCAGCATTCTGTGGCAAAGACAGGCTCCCCAGCCCAGAGATTCTGATTTGGCTGGTCTGGGAGGGAGTCTGGGAGTCTCTATCCTGTACATGCTACTCCTGGGGGGATCCAGTAAGCATAGGTGAGTGTCCCAAGACACTGAGCCCCCTGAGCACCGCACCACGGGCCACAGCTAGTCGACCTACAGCAGAGCAGTGCCCCGCCCACTCACCCGATTGGCTGTGACGGCCAGGTTCTGGAGGTTCTGCAGGAGGCCGATGTCGGCGGGGAGGAAGGTCAGGTTGTTGTGGCTGAGGTCCAGGTAGCGCAGCTTGCGGCAGTAGAAGAGCTGGGTGGGGATCTTCTCGATCTTGTTGCGGTTCAGGTAGAGGCGCTCGAGGTTGGTGAGGTTGCCGATCTGGATGGGGATGTAGGCGATGTGGTTGTACCACAGCTTAAGGCAGGTGAGGCGGTGCAGGTGCTGGAAGCTGATGATCTCCTCGATGGTCTTGAGGTTGTTGTCCTTCAGGTCGATCTCCTGCAGGTTGTGGAGGCTGAAGATGGAGTGGGGGATGCGCTCCAGGTCACAGCGGATCAGCTCCAGCTCGGTCAGGTTCACCATCTTCTTGAGGCTATTGAGGACGATGAGCTTGGTGCCCTCGTTGTTGATGGACAGCTTCTGCAGGTGCACACCCACGTCCGTGACCACCTGCGGCAGCTTGCTCAGGTTGCTCTTGAGCCGCAGCACCTTGAGGCGCTTGAGCTCCCGCAGCCCGTCGATGACTATGTAGCGGTTGTTCTCGGCACTCAGGTTGCCCGTCAGGTGCAGCTCCTCCAGCGTCTTCAGGCTGTAGATCCACAGCGGGATCTCCTTGATGTCGGTGAACTTGATGTGCAGTGCCCGCAGGTTCTCACGCAGGAAGGCCAGGGCAGGGGCCTCGATCTTGGCGGCCGTGTGGTACAGCCAGAGCTCACGGAGGCCCGTGAGCTGGGCGATGCTGGGCGGGATGGTCACGTCGGGGATCAGCTCAAGCTTCAGCACCTCCAGCTCACCCAGGTCAAACACAGTGTCGGGGATGCCGCTGAGCATGAACAGGTGCAGCTCCAGCTTGTCCTGCGCGTTCTTGGTGAGCCGCTGCCGGAGCTTGTCCAGGGTCCACTCGTTGTTGAGGTTCAGCTGCCGCAGCTTATTCTCACTCACCTCGGACAGGAAGACGGCGAAGCGCTTGGAGTAGAGCGGGTCGTACTGGTCGATGAGGTGCAGCATGAAGGCAAAGTCGTTCTTGACGTCGGGGATGTCGCTGTAGCTGCTCTCCTCGCGGATCGACTCGAACGAGTACTTCTTGAGGGAGCGCCGCAGCATCCACCACAGAGTGTACATGCAGATGAGGCCGTAGAAGATGACCAGGCTGATGTAGAAGGACGCCAGGATCTTGAAGAGCGTGGCCAGGGGGTGCGCGCAGCGGTAGGTGCGGTAACCCGTCAGGCTCTCGATGTCCACGGTGCAGTCCACGTCGAACTTGATGTTGTGCACGTAGTAGACAGTGTAGCAGATGATGAGCATGAACTTGATCACCTTGATGATGGTCTGCCGCATGTAGAGGCGGTACACGATGTCCCCCTCCTCCACATGGGTCCGAAACTTCTTCACCTTCTCGAACAGTGCCTTGGCCTGCTCCCCCTCCTTCTTGTCCAACACGCCCGTCTCCGAGCGGTCCACGATGCCCTGCTCGATCCGCGACTTGGTGCGCTGCAGCATGGGCACGGTGGCCTCCACGTCCTCGCTGACTGTGGATGACTTCTTGTCCATGGAGCCGTTCATCTTGCTGAAGGCCGGCTTGGGGTCGCTCTCCTCCACCACCGTTTCAGACAGGGCCCTCGTGGTCCAAGGCGAATCGAAGCACTTGAGGAGGATGGACACGAAGTGCTCCAGCTTCGAGCTGGTGCGTGGGAACTTGAACCAGAAGTTGCTGCAGGCCAGGAAGATGAGCGTGTGCAGGAGCACCAGGTATGGGAAGTACTTGGCAAACCAGTGAAGCCGGTTCTCGTAGCACACGGCGTCCACGTAGTTGTACTGGTGCCGGTCCAGGTCATACTTGATGCCCGTGGGGCCCGAGTCCGAGGCTGGCAGGATCGTGGAGTTGGGGTAGGTGGGCTCTGGGCCAGGGGCCGCCCAGCCCCGGAAGGAGTCGTTGCAGGAGTCCTTGGTGACCCACTTACACGGCAGGCAGATCATCTTGTCCTGGGTGACCTGCAGAGTCCCCCCGAAGACAGCGATCATCAGCATGACGATAGAGATGTAGTCAGTGAACACGTCCCACCACGGCTTCAGGATCCGGTATGCTGGCTGTGTGTCCGCAAAGTAGCGGAGCTCTGTCACCGGAATCATGGTTCAACCTGAAAGGGACCCATAGGAGGGATTACCACAGGTGGCCTGGCTTTCCTGGGACCCAGGGAAAGAAGTCGTTGCAGGAGTCCTTGGTGACCCACTTACACGGCAGGCAGATCATCTTGTCCTGGGTGACCTGCAGAGTCCCCCCGAAGACAGCGATCATCAGCATGACGATAGAGATGTAGTCAGTGAACACGTCCCACCACGGCTTCAGGATCCGGTATGCTGGCTGTGTGTCCGCAAAGTAGCGGAGCTCTGTCACCGGAATCATGGTTCAACCTGAAAGGGACCCATAGGAGGGATTACCACAGGTGGCCTGGCTTTCCTGGGACCCGGGGAAAGAGGACAATGAAAATTCCACCATGATCCAAAAATCCTGCCTCAAGTCCTGCTGGGAGTGCTGGCCTGGTCACCCCACCAGGCAAGCCCACCAATTGGCCCTTTTGCAGAAACTCGGCCAGGGAAAGTGGGGGCAATGACCCATTTAACAGACAGGAAAACTGCACTGTGAGGGTCTGGCTCACCCTGACACAGCCCCACGGCCCTCTTGGCCCCTGCCCCCACCCCCTTGCATTCCAGTAAGAGCACTCAGGAATTCCTGCCTAGAATCCACCCATGTCAAGATCAGATCAGCCAGAGGAGCTTGTTTAAAACCCTAGATTTGCCCAGAACCAGCTGCTATGAAGTTGCAGCAGTGATCAGAAGGGAGGTCTGCAAAATGCAAGGAAGAGAAATGCAGACAGGGCTTAGCACAACTCACCTTTGTAAGACAAGGGGCAACAAACGATTTGTTTTTTTTGTAGAGATTTTTGCTATAGGGCGCATACACATGCCAGAGAGACAGAGAGACAGAAAACAAGAAATCACCCCCCAGGGAGATGGTCATGCTGCAATCCCTTCTCCTCCATTCTCCTCCCAGGATTTTGGGTATGCATGCACATGAGCCTGGTGTGAGTTTTAAACAACCAGGTCCAGGACTCGAACTGCAATCCATTAGATGGGAGTCAAGCAACATAACCATTCCGCTATCTGCTGGTCCCAGGAGCAAAATTTTTACATTATCCATGTGTGTGCCCCAGGATGCCAGGAGCACTTGGGGAAGACTGGAAGGTCACACACAGTAGGTTTACTGATGGGCTCCCGGATGAAGGGCCACACAGAGAGGACAAGGGTGAGGTAGGGGGTTCTGCTCCCAACCTGGTGACCTGGCCTCACCTGCAGGCCTGTGCTGTGTCCCATCATCCTGTGGGGGAGGGTCTGCACAAAGGAATGAAACAGCAACAGCAGACCCTCCCCTAGAGAGTGCAATCTGGCTGGTCTTGGGTATATAATTTTTATATTTTATATTTTGCCAGAAGGAGGGAGTGCTCATCAGAAAGACAGGGCGAGAAAGCACCCCTCTAAGGGATGTGCAATCCCCCTCCCCTCGTTCTGCATCCTGTCAGGATTTGGGGTGTGCATACATGGCCAGAGTGTTCTTCAAGCAGCCAGGGCTAGGACCAAACTATGGTCGACCATGTGGGTGCCTTTAACCACTGTGCCATGGGGCTAGCCGGGAAATCTGACTTTTTTCTTTTTTATTTTGCCAAAGAGTGCACTGCTCACCAGAGAGAGAAAGAGAGAAAGTGCCTCACATGCAAGAATCATTGTCATAATCCCTTCTCTTCCATCTCTCCCTTCCTTCAGGATTTTGGACACACACACACACACACACACACATGCATCTGGTGTGTTTCCAAGCTGCCACATCTAGGACTCAAACCACAGTCAGCCCTGGGATCTAGCCACCTTAACCACCACACCATTGGCTGGCCTAGGAATCTGATTTCTTTCTTTCTTTCTTTTTTTTTGGAGAGGTTTTTGCTATAGGGTGCCTGCACTTGCCAGAAAGACAGAGAAAGAGAGACAGAAAGCGAGAAATCACCCCCCGTCCCCCGGGGGGTGGCCATGCCGCAATCCCTTCTCCTCCATTCTCCTCTTGGGATCTTGGGCACATACGCACATGCGCCCAGCGTGAGTTTAAGCCACCAGGTCCAGGACTCAAACCACCATCGGCTACATGGGAGTCCAGCGACATAGCCATTATGCTAACTGCTGGTCACTAGGAATCTGATTTCTAACATAGTATGCCCAAGTTTGGGAAACACACGCTCAGAGGCCACATTCAGGAAATCCAGCCTGTGCCATCCTGGAGAGGTGCAAGGAGATAAAAACAGGAAGCCAGGCGTGCTGGTGTGCATCCCTACTGCCAGCAACCCAGGAGGCTGAGGCAGGAGGGTCACAAGTTCAAGGCCAGTGTGGGCAACGTGGCAAGACCCTGTCTCTAAATAAATAAAAATAAAAAAAAGCATGGGAAGGAATCCTGTCCTTAGCCACCCAGGATCACCCTACCAATGTAGGCTGTTCTTAAAATGGTCTATGACCAGCAAGAGAAAACAGGCATCAGGCAGTCACTGAAGAACTTGTGCAAAACCGTAAAAAAGTTAGGCTGGGCTCGCGGCCTAGTGGCAGAGGGAGCTGGATCTCACACACCGGTGGTGCAGTTCTAACGTGGGCCCAGCAGCTTGAAAAGCACAACGAGTATGTGTGTGTCTGGTATCCTAACAGGACAGAGAACGGACTGAGGCATGACACATCCCACTGGGGGTTGCTATCTTCCTCTCCCTGTCTCTCCGTCTCTCCCTGGCAAGTACATGCACCCTCCTGCAAGGGAAAAAAAGAAAACAAAAAAGCTTAGAAATCTCTTTAGAAACACACCTAAGGTTACCCACTGCTAATCTTGAGTAAAAACCTTCCAGCCCTTCCTACGTGTTTTTAAAATAAAATTGTACTTTTACTTTCCATGCTATTTCCTAACACAGAATGTAGATTTTATACAGACTTTTAAACACCTGTTTCAAAGTGGTCAGTTTCTCTGGATTACTGGTAATGTCTTTTATTTCTTCAAGCTCTGCTATAAGACACATGCACTTGCCACAGAGGGAAGGAGAGGGAGAGAGACACAGAGAAAGAAATCACCTTCCAGTGGGGATGACCCCTTCGCAATCCCTTCTCCTTCATTTTTCTCTCAGGATTTTGGGCATGCATGCACATGCACCTGGCATGTTTTTCAAGCTGCCTGGTCCAGGACTTGGACTGAACCATGCAGTCGGCCATGCGGGATCCAGCTGCCTGAAGCACCACACCACTGACTGGCCCCAATTACTGGTAATATTAATAACATCGACAGTAATAAACTCCTTTCTTTTTTTCAGGTTTTTGCCATAGGATGCATGTACTCACTAGGGAGAGACAGAGATAGTGAGAAGAAAGTGAGACATCGACCCCCAGGGGCAACAGCCATGTCACAACCCCTTCTCCTCCATTCTCCTCTTGGGGTTTTGGACACGTATGCACATGCGCCCTGTATGAGTTTTAAGTCGCTGGGTCTGGGACTCGAACTGCAGTCGACTCCGTGGAAGTCCAGCAACATAACCATTATACCATCTGCTGGGCTCCCTGGCAAGAGTTTCAAGCCTCCATATCTGGGATTCCAACTGTGGTCAGCTATGTGGGAGTCTAGTGCCTTAACCACCATACCACGCTGGCCCCAGTAATTAACTTAGTGAGTAGAGCCTCTCTGTAAATGCCAAATGCTTCCCACTCACAATCTCTTTTATTTCATTTCTCTCTTTCACGAGAGTGAGAGAGACAGTAAGAGGAGAGCTGGAGAGGGACGCATCCCCACAGGGTCTCACGCTGCAATCCCTCCCCCAGGATCACGTGCCCAGCGTGAACAGTCGACCTGGGAACTGAACTCACGATCCTCCGGATGGACCTGGCATCACTTGAGCAGTGTGTTACCACTGCACCACTGAGCCAGCCTGTGCTTCCCACTCCTTCTAGGGCATGCTGGGATGGGTGGGAGGACAGGAGGAAAACAGACCGGGACCCTAAAAGAGAGAGGTGGGATCGGGATACTTGCTGGAAGTGATGATGGTCTAGCAGTGTGAGGGCTGGGCATGGCTGGGCACAGGCCAACTCGTCCCAGAAAAGCTCTTGTGGAATACCTTCGATGCCTCGGGGTCCACCCCATTCTGTAAGTGGGGAAACTAAGGCTCAGGGAGACGGTGCACCTGCCCAGCATTGCCCTGCTACAGATCAACAGGGCTGAGACAAGCCCAGAAGGCCCGTCCCTCCACTGCAGCCTCCGTCCTCGCTGCTGGTGGGGCTCTATCTCCACTTGCTTCCATGCCCCTGGGGTTCCCAGAATCCAGGTCAATGTGGGGCCAGCAGACACAGCACCACCCTGGGCCTGCCACTCTAGCCCTCCTGGTAAGGCCAGCATTCACAGGCCGGGCAAGTGCCCACCCCACAGGAAGGCCCAGGCCCACTAATGACTGGCTGGCTCCACACGCCACCCACACTTC